AGAGAGTGAGAGAGAGGTGTCAGCGAAAAAGCGTGGTGACCATCAGCCTCTGCTCTGATGCGGGGAAAAATGCTGATGAAGAGAACAGCAAGAAGAGATCAGAAATGTCAGGCGGGAGGGGGTGGAGGCACACAAAGCGGTGTCAGAATTCTCCCTCCCGTCCTAGAGAAACCCCTTGCATTCCAGGTATGGCAGGGGAATTTGGCCAGTCCTCAGAGCTCAGAAACAACCACTGCATTGTGGTCATCTGAGAGACTCGTGTGTATGTTGTCTTTATGGGGAAGTGACACGTTAGAATGAGAAGTGGTATTAAAAGGGACAAACCCGCTGACTTATCATGCAGATTCTCCAGAGTTGACATTTTATTCTGAGGAAATTCCACACATGCTAAAAGATTATGTTGTATACCACCAGGACATTGTTGCTGAACGATAATTCTTCTTATAAGATCTTTTGACACCATTGCTATTACTTAAAGCAGCACTTTAAATTGGGGATTAGGGAGACCTCTGGTTCAAATGTGTAATTGAAAGCAACTTGCAGTACATCAGTGGTGGTCAGCACCCTTGAGCAGATTATCTGGACAAGTAAGATTGCCTTTTAAGATATCCTTTATGTTCAAGTGGCTTAGGAGTCTAGCCCAAGGAATCTTATTGCTATAGCAGAGGCATTCCTGCCTGGATGGGAAATTGAACCTTTGATCTTCTGTGGTCGATGGCATCATCTGCTAAGCTGTCGCTACACTGTTATGCATACCACCACTGTGATCTACATCCCTACTACTTGGGGATATCCAGCCGGACCTTCTTTTCAGGCTAAGATTGTAATGTCAGTCTGTCAGTCCAATGTATGAAAAGTCTGAAATCCTTTGCCAAATCCGACCTGAAGGCTCTGATTGTTCAATGAACACGTTAGGCTTTATAACTTGCAGCAGCACAAGCTCACTATGTTTAACATATTTTTTTCTTTTTTTGAATGGAGAACAGTTGGTTTTCCCTGAACACACAGATTACGTTGAGGGGTCACTGTAGATGACCTGTGACCTTCTTTGGGTTCAACTAACCATGAACCAACTGTTAGCAAACACTGAACTGAAGCATGCCGGTCATTTCAACTCAAATGAGACTTGGCCTTCATCAGGGCAAATAATCCTGGAAAGTCACATTTTTAGTGGTTGTGGGAAAATTTATAGCATGGTCATGCCACTCTTTTTTTTTTTTTTCCCCAAAACTGACTGCAACCACACCACCCTTCCCACATATGCTTTCAGTACCGCTCAAAGAAATGGACAACGTAGCTTTAGAGAACACTGAGGGAAACTTGCACTGTGCGTTTGGGAGCCTGGTCGAACAGATCGATTGCTTGAGAGTGCTTTTCCACACCACAGACAGACACCGTTACCTCTCAGCTTACAATGCCTTCGACTCCCCAGTCCTAGCTCTGTCCCGACAGACAGATTAATGGATTTTCCCCTGCCTGCATCCTGCAAGATCCATGTTTCAGATGCATTCAAAGAGCCATTTCATTCCTGCTCTTCTTCCGTATTACCATCTGCACCCCCCATGTGCCAGTAAGTAGCACTGTGCCAGACCAGGACTAAGCCTCATTCTCTCCACCCAGCTTAGCAGGCTAAGGAGGTCAGCCAGCAGTGTTAGGGTGTGTGTATATCAAGAGTATAGGAACATATGTTTAGTATGGGTCGTGGCCGGGGCAATAAAGGGGTTGGGGGTGTGGGTAAAGAGGTGTTTTTGGGAGGTTACATTTCCAAAGGCCTCAAGGTCTACTGTAAGAACTGTCAGAAGGCCTATTATAAATCTACCTGATCCTGTTTGGGGCATTTCACTGCATCCCTATAGACATGGTCCTATGAGCATTTAGGGCAAATAATTGCACCGGACAATTCTAAAATATCTAGTTAGCAACTGTTTGCTAACTATGATAACTATTTCCCAGTGTTTGTTTCCCCAAGTGTTTGTTAATAATTAGATTTTTGTTGAGATATTAACATAGAAATAAGTTCAGCTAAGCTTAAACTGTAGCCTATAGCTGAATTGTAGCGTCGATATTAATGCTGCATTCAACTAATGCTCGTAACTCGGGATTTCACAACCTCCATCTAGAAAAGCCCAAGGAATACTACCCATTAAGTAGAAAATTACTGCTCGGAAAGTTGAGAAGGTGGCTGCTCACAATATCAACAGATAAAAAGTATCATTTCTCTACTTGAGATCATAGTAGTGCTTTAAAACGATCAACATACAGACATGGTATTTGGTTACATCTTGTGACACTGACCATAAGGTTTGCTGTTTTGAGAAGGTAAATACATCATGGACTATAAAGTTCTCTCATATCACTGAAGTTAGCTGGCATTCAACTTTCAAAAATGTTGTAATTTAGAGCTCTGAACTTCACACTTCCGAATTGAGTTGAATACAACATAAGTTGTATTGCAGCTTGTAGGTAATTTACAGCATTTGATATCAAGCTAAGGTTGCTCTGTAGCCTGTAGACGAAGCATTGTGTTGACAATAAGCTTCGCTTGTGCTTTAGCCCAGTCTATGGTTGAATTTTAATATTGATTTTAAGTTGTATTATAGCTTGTGGTTAAGACATGTTGTTGGATAGCTTGAAGCTAAAGTCGTATTAGCCCTTAGTTGAATTACAGATTAGGTTTCAAAATTGTACTCTAGCCTATAGTTGAACTGCAGTGTTGATTGCAAGCTAAGGTTGTACTGCAGTACAGCTGGTTTGTACTGTTGCTAAGGTTGAAGGTGAGAGGCAGAGCAGGACGGAAGCCCATCTCTTCTCCTCCCAGAAACGCATTTCCTGATCCTGGACCATGCTGTTTGTTTTGGACTGCATCTCAAAGTTCTCTTCACACCCCATTCAGCCCTGCTCATGTGCAGTGACTGTCCAAAAAAGGTGACCACCATTTTCCTTGGGCACTATCAGTGTTGTGTAGGAGCCAAAGGCATTCCCAGGCCCTCCTTTTAGTCTGCTGACCCACCCTGCTTCTCTCACTGACGTATTTCAATGTGTCCAATGCTGATAATCAACCAAGCTGTCAGAGCTGTCAGCTGTATGTGTCGGCCTGCTATCTAGTTTCTGATATTGTTGCCCAAGGAGTGATGCTTTATATACAAACAAAAGCTTTATCATGGAAAATTCAAACCTCACCGCTGAGTCTGACTATTGCAGTTTTACTAACCACATGCTAATATGGTGATCACATAATGCTAAGTGAGTGATTTAAACTGCATGGCTTCAGATGAACCCTGCTGATTCCCTGCAAGGTTTGTTTCTTATTGAAGTCTTGGCCAGCCTGTTCTGGAGCGTATCCATTGCTGCAGAGATTCGTTGCCTTGGTTACATCGCAGTTATGAGTAATGAGTGAATGAGGAGCCTATGGCTGCTCGGAGTCTTGTGTTCTCTGAAGCGTTTGTTTACAGTTGATCTGAGGGCAGTGCTGTGATGTCCCTTGTATTGGTTAAGGACAGGTTTGGAAATCTGGTTTAGAGGACTTCTTCTGTAGCATGTTCTACTGACATCCTGGTTTCCAGAACAAATTCTTTAATTATTAGTGTGCTTTTGTTCTTTGAAATGGAAAAAAGGCCCCTGATGGCCAATAATGGTAGAAGAAACCAGGGAAACCCTCATGTCAATGAAATGTTTGTTGGCAGGCTTTGTGGAACAGCTGGCTATACTAATATTTTAAAGGGGAGTTCCATCGATTTTTCAAAATTTCTGCATAATCCAGTCATTGAGAAGCAAACAAAGTCTTTCAGAATGGTTTGATATGAAAATGGTTAATTGTAGAGAAATGTGTGTGTGTGTGTGTGTGTGTGTGTGTGTCGGAGCAAGCTTTGTATCTCCAAAATGGTAACTTCACAGGAGAAGGACAAAAACTACCTGCATTGTAAGTGAATGTGACCAGACTTTCTGATTGACTCTGTTTACATCTCAGCAATTAAATCATGAAGAAATTTTGAGAAATCTGTAGAATTCCCCTGTAATGACCCCATTCTGCTTGTCTCTGTGGGTTCTGGCATTTCTGCGCCACCTAGTGAAGACCATTATGTCCTGCACCTGATGAGTGAGTTTAATGGATTAAAGTTAAAACCAGTCCATTAAAGCCACTGTTTTGTCATTTCACTAAAACAGGGAAAGTAGGATTACTTATAAAGACTTCAGTGTACCACCTGAAATACATCATCCCACCTTGGTGACTACCATCTGTTAACTTATTACAGCTGGAACTTTCATATGCAGCCACTGGGGGGCAGGCAACACATATCTTAGCAGGTGTATTGTTGCCTACCTCAGAGGATTAAAGTAAATTCACAGAGATAACTGAAAAACAACTGATAGCTTTGTTGTATTCTTAATTTCTACAACCCTTTTGACACAGATTCAGTTGTACAGAATAGCATTTTATTGAAAAGGTTACAGTTTTAGCATGAATTGCATGAAGCCACACATGCTGAAGTGAAAACTGTTGACTACACTGTCCGTTCAGTATAAGAATGCTGAGCATTGTATAATTGTTACCCTAGGCAACCTTCTTCTTCAAATCCAAAAAATAACGACAGTGACCTATGGCTACATGACTGCAGTTTTTCATGCTCTGTTTATGAGACATTGCCTGTCCTCTGAAGTGTTCTTTTTGCCCTGAATCACCTTCTCTTCTGCCTCTGTGTTTGTGAGCACGAGTGTCTGCAAATGCACTCCCAGCCTGTTCTGGACACTGCGTGTGACATTTTATCAGCTTACTTTATTTCTGCCCAAGTGTTGTCCTTTAGGCATTCTACGTGGCCGACAACAAGGCCTGCATTTAATACCTCTCAGACTGACTCATTAGCTCATGCTGTTTCTTCTCAATACCCTCTTTCTCAGGACCTGAAATAGAGGTCATTGCTCTTCTTCGATCTTCAATCTGTATTTTTGTTCTCTTTGTGAGGCGCAACTAACAGTTTGTGTTGTGTGTCTCCATCCACCAGACTGCAGCTACACGTGTCACCTGGAGTGCGAGGGTCTTGTTCAGTTGGACTGCAACCAGAGTGACGGGCAGACAGAGGAGACGCCCACCGACTCCCCCTGCACGCCCTACTCCACACCATCTGTGGCGAAGGTAAGCTTACATAGGGATTCACACCAGAGGGTAGTAGTGGGCAGGTCCATACCGGTTCATCCTGAATTACTGGATGAAATTCTTCCTCAGGTCATAACTGTTATAGCAGCATGTTACAAATACGGAACACACAAACAGTGCAAACCATGCTAACGTTAACCCGTTTGAGTGGCTCAGTAACATTTATGTCTGGTCCACTGCATTTGAAGTAGTCCACTTTGTTTTTGTGTCAGATTTACTTTGGCTGTGAAGGGACATCCCAGACGTTTAATATAAGTCAATGAAACCAGACTTTTTTCCAAGTAATTCTGGGTCATTTCTTTTGGTCCATTCATCATGAAATATACATGCAATGTAAAGGGAATCAGAAACACTCTGCTGCTTCTGACGTGTTCTGTAGGCACGTTTGACAGTAATAGAACATCTCTTTTTTTGCTTATTTTTTTATTTCACAGCAGGTTTAAAACATGATGGCACAGCAGATCTGTTTGTTGTGGTGAAATAACAGGCTTTTACTCTTGTTGATATCAGATAAAAGGCCTAGTTAGCATCATGACAGTACAGATACTGTTAGTACTAAGCAGTATATGTTCTGTACCTACTATGCCATTATGATCATAATGTAGTAAATTCACAATGCTGTAGAAAGGTGAAATGTGTGATTACAATTGCAAAAAATTGCAGCCAGACAGAAGGGTGTCATGTTTTGATGGACGTATGATACACATCTAGCGGTTACAGTGTGAATGAAACATTGATTGAAATAGAGGCGTATCTATTCCATCAGATGGATGGTTGACTGTAATCCTTTAGAAATGTTTTCGTTGTGAACTGGCCTATAGTCACTTGCTGTTTATTACTGCAGGGATCATGCAGGCCTGCAGTTATAGTTAAAAGAAGGTAGAAAAAGCTAGTTTGTTATGATTTAAAGTTATGTTAACTAAATGTCTTCCTAGCAAGCAGCCAGAGAGGAACCCTCAGAGCTTACTAGACCTTCATAGAAGACCTAATTATTTCTGGGAAACTAAAAAAAAGGAATTTTTACTCTTTTTATTCAAGAGAATAGTGACGCTTGTTGTATTTAAACTCCACAGGTGTGTACGTATTATGGTAATACTTCAATTATTTTGTTTAGTGGTTTTGGATGTTAAAGATCTTAAATCGCCCAACAGAAAGTTCCAACCTATTGGTTAGACCTTCAGGAGCTGGACAGAAGGCCTTACACATTATTACCAACTAGGAAGTGAGAATGGAAACAACCATGCATGTTTTGATTTTCAATGGGTGTGACCAATGTCATGAGTGAAATTGTCGCTTCTTGTGGAAGTCCTTGATACATCACTGACTGTCAGTATGAGTGGTAGTCTGACCGGTGTGTTTCAGTTCAGGTGTTAGAAAGGGGAAAAAGGTGCCAACCCTATGTCCAGGCTCTTTACTGAAAGACTACTACATACAACGTAAAATATATGTTTTTATGTTTGTTAAACTCTTCAAATAAGGCAGAGGTCACTAATAGGCGGCCTGCGGTCCGAGTCCATTAAAGTCAAAGTGAAATGGAAATCATAAGGCATTTCCCTTGCATACTATGATGCAGTGTCAGGGAGGGTCTCTGAGCTAGATTTTTAGTGTTTTCGCTGGATAATATGTTAGCGTTGGGGAGAAAGTGTAACAAGATATTATTAGTTAATATTATTTTCTCTCAGCCTGCTGGTGCACTGTGATGTAATCAAGGCTTGGAATATGTTCTAGTGGCAAGAAAAAGTCATTACACTTTAATAGAAGATTATAGGAAAAGATGAATTTTGGCTTTTAAATGATATAAGATTAATCATGCTTAATATAATCAGGGGCATGAAATAACAAGGTAAAAAAGTTTACATCTGTGTGGACATTTCATGGCACAAAGACCCACAGGCATGTCTCGGCTACACTGGCGGTAGTCTTGTCTAGAATAAAACACTGAAAAGATACCCATCTGCAAAAAAATTTATTTAGTTTGCATTCTGAATCTGAGCACAGACTCCCATCTCCTCAACTTAATAAAGTGATATATTGGAGTGAAGGCAGCATCCAAATGTACAGTAACCTTTTGTCCTTGAAGTTTATTCGTTTTTCTTTCAAAACAGAAAAGATACAGCTGAAAAAATGCTGGAAACAAAACAGAGAGAAGTGAGTAGGCATTTCTCCTGCTGGCTTTTCTGGACCACATTAGTGCATGCCTGAGTTCCTCTCAGGGGTCTTGACTGTGCATAGTTGTAGCAGTAAGTTCACTTCGGCCCCTAGGTAGGCAGAAAGTGACAGCACAGAGGAAGAGCAGCAGGGGCCTGCCAGGACACATCTCCATCCACACGCCAGCCGCTATATTAAACTACAGACACGGGCACCTGCACGCTAACCCTACACATCTTCAAATTTTTACTTTTATATAAAGAAGTGGAAAGATCACACTGATTCTGAGCAGCATGTGTACAGTGCGCACAGTGGTAGTCAAAGGTTTTATTAACTATTCTGTTGATGCCTTATTGGTAATCAGTAAGGGTCGTTAATGTGAAGAAATGTAAGTTTACACTTTTATTAAGCTCTTGAAAGATGTATTTAAGAAAGTTTATTTATATAATGGGCAATGAAGTTGTATTGATGAAAAGGTTTAGATTTATAGCAGGGTTAATTAAAAATGGAATGAAATAGTTTGTAGAGTTGCCTTTTTTAATTTGTTAAAATAAATTTTTAATTGTGTTAAACACGAGTTGTGTCAACTCTGCCGCTGTTCATTTTTTATACATTTCTATATAATTAATTTTTTATCATGTAAATAAATTCATTCAGAGTGATTTGATGTGAAATACTCGATTCAACAGAAATATATAGAGTCAGAGTTGTTCACAGTGTTGGTGATGAGAACCAAACGTCCAAAGAATTTAATGCCTCTTAAAGCTCCCTTACAGAAAGCTATTACTTGAAATGGTTATTGCCATGGTTATAAGCTTGAGACATTGTTTTACGACAGATTTTGCCTGAAACATATTTTTTTAAATGTACTTTAAAGTGTTGCTTGACAGGTTGTTTTGCATAGTGAATCAAATTTAATATATTTGGCTTTTTAGACATGGCGAAGTAAGTCTGATAAGATTAATTTCCCTCAAAAGTGAGTCAGAAAAGCTTAGCAGTTGGTTACAGAGTATAAACTGTGTTAAACTGTGTTAGTATTACCACAAACACTTGAGAAAATCTCTTAAACCCAGAAGCAAAAGCCATATTTTACAAGATCTTAATTGGAGCTACCTGATTTAGATTGCTATGGCACTACCACACATTGCTCAACATCAGTGTTCTAAGTTAACAATACCGACCTTGTTCTGCTTCATCCTTTCTTTATGGTAAGATCTCCTCTTTCCAGTGTATGTCTTGCCTCCTCTGAAAGCTTCCATTTCAGTGCTGTCAGTAATGAGAGAGAGCCCAGCTGGGCTGGCCTGTCATGGAGATTGAGAGTAGCTGAATGGAGAGCTGTCAGCTTTGGCCATTAAGATCATTCCTCTTCTGACCTGAAACTCACATTAATGTTCACAAGCCAACGGACAGCATTTTCACTTTATATGGCCTTTCACACTGCTATATTTATGTCTCTGCATTAACCACGTGATAAATGTTGTGGGTACTTCTGACTGTTTAGTTTTCTTTAGTTACCACTAGAGGGAAGCACCGGTCAGTGACAGGCCTGTTTGTAAAGAGCCTTTCAGTTGCATGGTGATGTAAATGTGAATAACCCCATTACAGAGTAAAACTTAATAGATGTCTTTCAGAGCAAAGCATCCAAAACATTTTCTAAAGGAGAAACTCAATTAGAGGAACACAAAGGCTTTGGACTGTCCATCGGTTTTCTAGATTGACATCATTGTGTTGGGGCTTTCAGGCCCAAGGCTTTCTGTTACCATTCCTGCTCATTATTTAAGAGACCAAGCTTCTCAGACACACTGAAATGGAACCAGTCTAGTCACCACTAAATGACAGAAAATGGATTATCAATGGGCTGGACAGCACTGGCCTCAGCACTGAGAGTCAATAATCAAAGTATAAAAAGCTGTCTTGGGGACAAGCCTGTGTCTTATGGACATTTCATGAAAAGAGACTATGTATAAATGGCAAATTTTTCTTCTTTAATTAAGTTCACTGTCCTTAGATTTTTCTTAGGACAGTGATGATATTCTCTGTTTTACAGTGAAGTATATGCAAAGCTGGGTAGAGTAGCCGAAACAATACTCAAGTAAAGGTATTGATACCTGGGTAAAATAGTAACTGTAGTCAAAGTAAAAGTACCTTCCTAAAAAGCAACTTGAATAGAAGTACAAAAGTATCAAAAAAGTTTCAAAGCGTCTTGAAACATTAATCTGGATAACAAAAGTTTAAACGCACCCAAGACTCATTTGAAACAGATACAGTCCGATTGCTCAAATCACTTTAGGAGGTGGTCTGAAACACATTTGAGCCACGTTATAGCAGTGTAAACGCGTCCATCTCTCCAAGACACATTCGACAACCGAAACTCCTCCCATGCAGTCAGTCACTGGGCATGTGATCTGTGTTTTCGAGGAAGATGATCATGGAGGATGCACATGGATCCCCTAATTTTGTAGAAATGCACAACAGCATGCAAAATTGCAAATTTCAAGGCAACCATCAGTAGCATAGCACAGGAAGAGCCTGAACGGATAAACAATTGATAATTGGTTGCTGTCCTACACAGCAATTGGATTTCAGTCCAACTGACTGGAGATGCGTTTGACTACCTGTAAATGCATGTGGCTAAAATTCTATCAGGATACAGTCCAGATACTAGTCACATGAAGTGTCCAGGTCTAAACGGGGTCTAATATACTTAAGTAGAAGTAAAAGTATTATGATTTGAAAGTACTCAGGAGAGGACAAATCCATCAGTACCTTTTGTTAAGTGCATGTACTTGAGTAAATGTAGCTAGTTACTACCTACCTCTGAGTTAGTTACT